TTCTCTCGTACCCCTGCTCGCTCTCTCTCCCTCTCCTCCTCTCTCTCGTACCCCTGCTCGCTCTCTCCTCCTTTCTCTCCCACCCCTGCACGTTCTCTCTCCCTCTCCTCCTTCACCCTCTCTCTCCCTCTGCCTCCAGGTGGTCATTTTCTGTGTAAGACATTCGATCTCTTCACTCCGTTCAGCGTGGGGCTGGTGTACCTGCTGTACCTGTGCTTCGACAGGGTGTCTCTCTTCAAACCCGTCACCAGCCGGCCGGCCAACTCTGAGAGGTCAGTGTGTCCGTCCGCCCGCCTGCCCTTGTTAGGCTGAAGGTGAGTCTCGGCGTCTGCGGCCAGCCGTCTGGTCCCGTTGAAGAGGCTAGTCTGTCAGGGTTTCCACTATGCAACGACGCAGTATTGACGCCTCTGCCTCTGCTTGTCTCGAAGGTACGTGGTGTGCCGGGGCTTGAAGCCCGGTTCCGATCCGGTGAGGGAGTACCTGTTCTCCGTGAATCTGAAGCTGAACCAGCTGAGGCTCTCGTCCTCTGACGTGACGGAGGTCGTCCCTCTGGATATCATTAAGGGAGACACGGACTTCTACCAGCACATGGTCCGCTCCAATGAGAGGTCAGGACACTGAGGTTCCCTGCCGTTGGGCTCTGAGCCACTTTAATCCGGTCCTGTTCTTTACTGTAATCCAAAGCTGCTTGTCTCGCATAGTGACAGTTCAGCAGAGGCAGCAGTGAGAGGGCTTGGTGTATAAATATGGAATTGCCAATTATTTTTATTACCTATCCACCCAGTTTGAAACTGCCACTTTTGGGGACCCCTGTCCTTAAAGGGAGAAGGGGGGGTGCACAAGACAGGCTGGTCCTGTGTCAGGTGGACAGACTGCAGTATTGCACTCTGGGGGAGACTGATGACGTCGCTATGGGCCTGCAGGCCCCAAGGAAGCCTGTCAGTGAGAGGGGTGTGGTTGGGACTGAAGCTGAATTGAATGCTGTAAGATCATGTGTTTGCCCGTGAGCAGGTGTTAGTTGAGAGTTTGAGAGTTAGAGAGGGGTGTGGATGGGACTCAAGCTGTATAAAATGAGGTGAGGTATGTGTTTATTGTGAAGCTGAGTGGAGAATGGAAATGTAATCAGAGTAAAACTTGTCCCACAATTAACTGGATTTAAGAGATGGTTAAGAATAGCCATCTTGAAAGTACAACTTCCTGTGCAATTATTTTTGTTTAAAATCACAAAAATCCAGAATCAGATTTTTTCCATTTATACATTGCTGTCATTTATATTTATACTATCATTTATATTCCATTTTTCCATTTATACATTACTGTCAAGTTTAGTCCATCTCTGCTTGTAGATGTTTGTGCAGGACAGTCCCTTAATATTTGTATCAGTCACCTCACAGTCTTCTCTGTTCAAGACTGAAGAGAGTCCATTCCTTCAGCCTGTCAGTGTACGACAGTCCCTTAATACTTGTATCGGTCTCCTCACAGTCTTCTCTGTTCAAGACTGAAGAGACTCCGTTCCTTCAGCCGGTCAGTGTAGGACAGTCCTTTAATATTTTTTCACACAAGGCTACTGAATGTTGGCTAAGTTATTTGTTCAATACATAATAACAAAGCAAAATTTGTGGTATCTGTCACATGAGGTTAGATTTATCTACTGTTGGGGACGTGGTGAGGACAAGGTGAAGGTCAGATATGTCTAAGTGTAAATAAAACCATAGAATTGTGAGGTAGTATACTTTGTTTTTCACATCACTGTAGCTCCTATCACATCTTCAATGTGCAGTGAATACATGCAGTGTGAACAGTGTGGTACCAAGGCATTAAGCTCTTACTATCGGAATGCTGATGCCATTTAATTTTCCGGTACACATACAGTAGCTGCACTTTTTTCCCCATTAGCGAATAATTAGAATCATACCAATATTTACCCTACTTAATTGTTATGTGCTCAGAATGTAACGGAAGAGTCACATACCTTTGGAATTGAGTGTGATATCAAAAATGGTTTGTACAAACCTGTGTTTCTTTAAGCAGGCAGGTACAGAAAGCTGTGTGTATCTCTAGAGGAGCTTTCTTAATCTTGTGTGGCCTCTGTGCAGCTGTGCTGACTGGGCACTGTGTGTGGGGAAGCACTCTGGGCTCTTGACCTGTAACTGGAGGGTTGTGGGTTCAAATTCTGAGTGAAACACTTCTGTAGTACCCTTAACCCACATATATAAGTTAGAGCAAATATTAAGTTGCTTTGGATAAAGATGTCAGCCAAACTGAAAATAAACAGTGTTACTGTGCTCTTTCCTGTAGCCACTGTGCAGTCCAGATTAAATCTCTGGCCAAAATCCATGCCTTCGTCCTGGACACGTGAGTACCGCCTGTATGTAAGCACTCTGTGTATACGTTATTCTCTTCTGGTCTTAGATCTCAAAACTGGCGTTTGCTCAGAACTGTTTTAGTTTAACATATTTCTCACCCAACTGTCATTTCAGTTTGTCCGATCACAATGAAGGGCCTTCGAAATCTCTTCTTGTGCCGTATGTGTCATTTGTGTGTCAACTCATGTACCAGTCTTCCCACCTGCCTCTCTCCAGCTGCCCCTAGTGTCTGTCTCTACGTGCCGCCTGACTGTGTTGTCTGTATTTCAGCACGCTGTCGGAGCCAAAACAGGCAGATATACGAAAGGAGTGTCTGAAGCTGTGGGGGGTGAGTCCTGAAAAGAGCTGCACACACTGCGGGGTTGGGTACAGAGCTCTGACACTGACACACACACACTGCTGGTTTGGGTACAGAGCTCTGACACTGACACACACACACTGCTGGTTTGGGTACAGAGCTCTGACACTGACACACACACACTGCGGGGTTGGGTACAGAGCTCTGACACTGACACACACACTGCAGGGTTGGGTACAGAGCTCTGACACTGACACACA